CTGGCTAGTACAACCGGCACTTTGTACCTACCAAATCCTGATAAAAACTTCTGGCTGTACTAGCCAGGATGGCGTGGCCTGACGTGAGCGAGTTAAAATTTTCGTGGACGTCAAACAATAAGGGAAACGACTAGAGTTACGCTTCTGGTATAACTTCCCATTCTGTGACCCAATCCAGCAACTTTGCGACCAGCTCAAGCACTCTGTCACAGAGTAGAGACATACAGAGACGTAACTAGTGTACCCACTTTTTTTGTGTGCATGCTCGGCAAGTTACTAGATGCATGCATCTGATTGGATGACGACCTGATGATGACTCACTTTAAACTTGCTGAGCACGCGCAGTTGATCATTTTTCGCCCGGTCGCCTGAAAAAAGTGGGTACATGATAACGTAATCTTCCGCAGTGTTTACAACGGTCAGTTACGTCTCTGTATGTCTTATCTACTCTGTGACTCTGTCTTATCGTCAAATCACATGCAGAATACAGCAGAGTGGTTGACTTAGCTTGTTGCAGAGGAAGGATCGATGGCCATACCGCCCATACCTCAATGGCATGTGAACAGACTCCTCAACACCATGAGGCGACAATGCCTGGAGGTGATCGAGAAGCATGGTGGAACTATAATTTGTTCCAAACTTATGCTGATATATTTAGGGAGAACTTTCTCTTTGTGCGGTGTTCAGATAAAAGCCTTTCATATACAGTGTGTGAATTTAATTCAATCATTCGTGCATATTTATATAGCCATATTTTTGTTACTACATAGCATTATACAATATATAAACTAGAATCTTGGCAACTTTTGGGACAAAACCATGCATAAAAAAACGGATTTATCCATGCATGTGTGTAAAAGCTGTCGTGACAAAGTACACGTTGCACGTCTCTTAATAACTATGCAAACTTTGTTTATAATTATAATAAGCGTTTGAATATTTGTTGAAAATGATCACTTACAAATATGCATAATGTCTCAGCTATTTTGTTTTGCGCGAAAATTAAACACTTCAATGCTGTCTAGGTAGCTAACTACTTCAAAACGAAGAGAAACGAGAGTTTTCTAGTAGAGACGTTGCAACATGAATATTCAAAATGAAATGTTTATTTTCGCAAATAATAATATGGGCGTGTATCTTTGTACGGCATCGTTTCATCTAGGCTCGTAATACTCTTAATTTACAATAAACTTAGCAATTAGATATATTTCATACGAAAACTAAAGTTAAATCG